AGGGGGGGGGGGGGGGGGGGGGGGAGGAAGGGGTGAAGATTTCCTAGAAATGTTGGGATGCCGTGAAATTTCTTATAGTTTTAGTTAAAATTTTACGAAAGCGCGTCTGCCGTTCATAAAAATCAGCTCATGCACTTCAATATTTTTAATTGCACTTCGTTTTGTTATCGGTTTTTGATCGAAGTTGATTGAAAAAGAGGGGTCATAAAATTATCGAGATCCTGTGATGTGCCAGTATCGAAAAAAGTGAATCTTCGGATTCTTACTGTCACAGTTCACTGTGTATTATATTACGTGCATGGCTTCCATGCTCATAATTTTTGCTTAAATTGAAACAATTTATGATGAAGATAATGGAAGCAAACTAGTAGAGCCATATTAATACTAGCAAAGGAAGTGTTCCATTTGCTAAGGAATTAGGATTGGTTAAAAAATGTGGAAAATTAAACTTTTTTTTTTCAATATGAATTCAAATTCAGGAGCTCAATTACATGAGTTACATGCCACTGCGAGTGCTGACAATCGATCTGAAGCATCGCGATTCGCCACGTTTGGCAGAAATACTTACAAAGTGGATGTGGACGCGCCATATGTCTTTTTGGTAAGCGTTACTTTGGTTTGATCTTGTCTTTCGATATTCCTATTAACACATAGAAATTTCTGGCCCCCGTCCCCTTCCAGTCTTCTAGCCAGAGATATTCACTGTTTGTAATTTTAATTTTAGATGATGTGTGTTTATGTAAAAAGTAAGGGTTAAAAAGAAAGGTGAATAAGATAAATCGGATTAAAAAACCTGAATAGGAATGTTTTAAAATTCCTATTCAGGTTTTTGTTTTAAAATTCCTATTTTTTGTATTTTTAAAATTTCGATAACACTTATTATCGTAGTCTAAAAGTGACAATACATTGGGCAAATGTGCAGAGATTACAACGACTAAAGTTTGTCAAGTACTTCTATAGGACAAATTGTTAAGCGGGTAATTACAACAAGAGATAGACTGAATGTTAGAGCCGCCTGCAGGCTGACCAACAGAGATGCAGCATTGGTCGGGGCAACAGGAAGTTATTAGTTGCATAACTGATTTTCATTAATTATCAAAATTCGATTGTGTTCCTTTCCACGGTGGGCGGCCAATAACGCCAAACAAACTGCATCTATTAACACATAGAAAATTTCAGGCCCCCGTCCTCTTCCAGTCTTCTAGCCAGAGATATTCACTGTTTGTATCTTTAAAATTTCTAACAACAGTCCTCAGCCAGTACTGCTGCTTCTAAACACGTAACGGCAGATTTTACTTCGTTTTATCTATTGCTACTTACTAACTTAGCTGTGCTTAGGGGATTATAGAAGATGTGTAATTGGTGGTGTATGATGCAGGGATCGATTTGAAGTTGTGTTTGAAACCAAAGTTAATCCGCCGATTACGATTTTTTTGTTCCTAATGTTCTTAATTTCTTTTTTTGAAACCCCATATTTGTCAAATTCTTCCCTTGAAAAGACATAAGTAGGGTTGCAGAGGACATCACAGTTGGCAGAAGTAGAGGTGTAGTTTTTTTTTAAGTGCTTCTAGGAAGATTTGAGCAAGGGGAAATATGCAAAAGTACTTTTTATTGCTGCGTAAAATTTTCCTTGTACTCTCGAGACTGTTGTTAATGGGTGACGATGCCAAAATTTATGCAGGAATACTCCTGCTAACTTGATTTTTCGAGAAACTGGAGCATGTTTTACTGGAAAATTTAGCATGCATCTGTTTCGTTGTTTTGGAAATTTTTTTTTTTTTTTGCATAAACTTTACATTAACCAGAGTGAATATTACAGTATTTGGATATTCCTGCCTACTGATGCCAGCCGCTTACCGATTTCTGAAATAAGCCAGGACAAGCGTGATACCTGGGGAGTGTGGGCCGATTTTCGTACTCTTTGCTCCAATTATCCACCTCAAAAGCTCAGCGTCGGATTGCGAATCTGCCCTGATTTAGCCGATGAATTCGTGGAACCTCGACTCTACAAACGTTGGCATTCCGAGCCGCTGAGCTCATTGTGCATTGAAACATCGATTTTCACATGCTATGGCAAGAACAATCAATGCACACTTTCACCGTATGTTTTAAAAAAAAATTTTTTTTTTAATTTTTTAGCTGAATGGGGTTCTTGCAGTGTTTTCAAACTACACCACATATAACGAGATTTTTTTAAGAAAAGCAGTGATTTTAGCAGAAGACGTTCATATTTAATATTAAATGCTTACATATGAGAAGAATCACAAATGCTTGGGGTGTGGATACTAGCTAATTTAAGAGTATATTGGAAATAGAATGCGAAAAAATAAAAATTAAGCTGAGATTGAGACGATTTGGTCCATTAAGTTGCATAAGCCTTAACTACAAAGGTATGGCATTAATTTTTGTACAAGAAATAAAAGATAGGGATTGGTGATACAGAAGATTGTGAAAGAAATTATATGGTAAAGTGAGTAAATGAAGCTAACTGATCAAAGTCTTTCGGCAAATTCTCCCTCACAGGTTATAAGCATCATGATTTTTTTTT